TCTGTAAATGTTATAAGGAGTTCGGTCTAGACCTGCTCTATTTGAAAAGTGTCCTGAGATAACCAATGTTATGATTTGGCGCTATACAAATAAAATTTAATTGAATTGCTGTCCTGTGAAAATCGCAATGTCCACTTCCTACAGTGAAACCAGATTAGTTAATTTAACTAAAACATTGTTGAAACTGATTTGAAATTTGACTTAAACTAAAGGTACTTGATCAATAATGTTTTTCAACTTACAAGTTAGTTTGAGTTATTTAAAATTTTGCATATAATCTGTTTCAACAATTTTATTAAGCATATTGCATTATAGTGTACACTACATCAAGTTCACAGTTTTGAATAACTTTAGCTTTTGGTCAGATACACGTAAATGAGTTGATTACTGTAAATCAACTATTTGCCTTACTACAACCTAAAATGACCAGTTCCCCGAACTTAATTATGTTTTTCTCCCAGAAGTAAAATACTAAGTGTATATAAGTATTCACAACTTACTATAATTTGAAAAAAATCTTTTTACGACTTTATTATAAAGATACAATAATGTAGAGTTATCCACTGCTGCCTCTTACACATTGCATTGACTGAGGAGGACTTTGTGACACAAACTGCTTTTCACAAACAAATGGATAACATGCACAACAGTTTCTTAACAAAGTGCTTTTGAGCTAGTGTGAAAAACGTCATCGTTTGTTATCACCGACAACCCTTAAACCTGCGTAGGATTTGTGCAGAAACAGGAATCAGTGATTAAAACCTCATATTATGTGTTCCTTTGAGTAAATTACTCCATTATCGTGCCCCATCAGCTGAGCCTGATAATTTCTTAAAATCCTAAAAATACTTTTAACACATACAAGCTAAGGAATCCAGCCTTGTATGTTTCAGATATTTAAACAGATTTTAAAATAGCTTATGTTGGATAATGAGGAGGAGACATTTTTAAGACCATAAAGGAACATTTAATTAATTCAAAACCACCACATTTGGAGATGCATTGTTTTCACTGGGCTGTATTGGTGTGTCCTGATTGGGTTGTAATGGCTGCTTCCACCTGATGTTCCTAAGCTGGGGATGTACCGGAAATTATAACCACACCATAGGGCAGCAGCTTATGGTGATGTCATCAGTGATTATTTAATTAAGCCTTTAGTCTCAAAATGTGAGAAGTAATGCACCAGTATTATTTATATAATCTCATTATATATAATGTAACGACTGCAAGATCCCAGAGTAGGCTGCTACCAATGATTATTATTACCAATATTATTGTCTTCACAATTTCCCAGAGCCAAATGTGATGTCATGATTGCTTGTTTTGTCTAGCAATTTAAAATCCAAAGGTAATCAGTGTTTAAAAATATAAAGAGAAAAACAGCCTTGGAAACAGTGAATGTTTACGGTTCTTCTTGAGAAAGACTTAATGATTCACTTTCTATTGATTGATTCATTGACTAATTGTCTTCAGTCTGCTTATTTTGTTGGACCAACATTCCAGCTGCCCATAGGGAATCAGTTTATGACTATAAAACATACAAAATTAGCGAATTATCATGTTGGTGAGACTGTAACTAACTAAATTAACGTGACTTAATGTTCTTTTGTGTAATGAGTCATGATTTAACATTTATTTTCACTGAACCGGCAACCCTCCAGTTTCCAAGCCAAGTCCCACAGACCACAATATGTTGTGCTCTTGGAGTTGTCTCTATCAGAGATCTTCCAGTATTTCAGTTTTTTCCTCTGAGGCCTGCTTCTCACCCTGGTTTGCCAAGTGGGTGGAGCTGCAGTCCATGTACGCTCCAATGCAGAAAACAGAATGAATTGAATGACAGAATCTTGATGAGCAGTTGGTGGGTTGTTGGGTCCCTGCGACGCGCAATATTGTGATGAACTAACCCACGCAGACTGGTTGAAGCAGACATAACCAGCGTTAAACGATACTTTCGATGTTATTCCATCTTCATCAGATATTTAATGTTGTAGAGGGAGATACTTAAAGTTGAACCCCAATTTTGCAGGGGTCTTTAAACTAAAGAAATAAGAAATAAACTTAAACAGCCAGGCTCTCCACACTGAGCAAATACAGAACTGCCAGAAGTTCACACCATCAAAGTTTCTATGAAAGGGATTGCTGCTAAATATCCTAACCATACTTTTCTCACTACATAACTATAACGTGAAACTGTTGGAGCTTCAATATCGAGAAAGTTGTGTACGACATTGGCCAAAAACCTCGCAATGCTGGAGGTCTTGCGCTGTTGTTCTGAATAGACGTGCAAGACGCAAAACAATTACCTTTAATAGAGGCATTATAGTTTTTAATACTGTTGTTATCAAATTATATGCTCTATCGCGGCTTTCACCTCTCCTAAAATGTCACTTTTTTTCTCGCCTTCTCAGCCCGCCCTTGTTTCTTTCTGTTTTTTTTTTTAACCGCCGTTTATCCATATTTAGTTTTTCCCTATGGTCTTTTGAACCCGTCGCTTTGCTGCTGCTACTTTTTTTTTCTATCTTCTATTTTTCTTTTTTTTTTTTTTTTTTTTTTTTAAAGGTGTTAATTGGCTGGACACGGCCGGGGCAGCCTGGCAATCCCAAACTTTAAAAGGGTCACGTTTGCTGCCACCTACCGTACTGGAGTTGTGAAACAGTAGATTACAAGGGGGAAAAACGGTGATGACTGGCAGTGGAATATGGGTCAGCCTGCCAGCCGGCTCTGGAGTCCGGCCATCAACATCTGTGGATTCTCAGATCAACACAGATG